TTATTCATTCATTGAATGGTAAATGCATCATTCCCAGGCCTGCCGAGTTTCAGGAGCTGGGGTGGATACAGGGACTGTCGGTGGAACAAGAAGACATTGTCCCTGTCCTCACATGCCTCAGTTCCGGGACCAGTGACAGATGCGGCACAAAACGTCACACGGATAAAGTGAATTAATTGCTTTTTTGGGGGGGGTCATCTGCAAAAGTAGTTAGTGAGAAAGTCAGCCAATCATACCAGTACTAATAATAACGCAGGAAAAGTCAGGACGTCACGAAAGCCCTTAAGGGAGATCTGAATGGGGCGCCCTCCAAGGAGGTCAGCGCGAAGCCGAGATGACACATGACCTGGAGTTGCGCTCTGAGCGGGAATTTGCTGAGTCCGCCACTCTGGGGACACAGAGGGGCACGTCACTCACTCCCCTAGCTTGCAGGGACGCCATGTGCCGTCCCAGAGTTCCCAAGAGGGACCTCAGGTTCCCGACGCTTTTAAAAAAATTATTGTGATAAAATATATACAACATACAATCTTCCATTTTAATATTTTAAGTGCGCAATTCAGTGGCAGTAATTAGATCCGCAGTGCGGCGCAACTGTCACCACCATCTCCTTCCGAAGCTTTTACACCGCCCCAGGCAGAAACTGTTCTCCTCGAGCAGCGGCTCCCCACCCCCGCCCCCCGGCCCGGCAGCCTCGCGTGTGCTTCCCGTCTTCGTGGACGTGCCTGTTCTGGACATTTCATACAAAGAGCATCACACGCCATGTGGCCTTTGTGACAGCCTTCCTTCGCTGAGCACCGTGTCTCTGAGGTCTCTCTATGTTGCAGTGCGTGTCGCAGCTTCACCCCCTTTCTGGCTGAATGATATTCCGGGTGGACAGACCATGCTTCGCTGACGTGCGCCTCAGCCGTCTCGGGGCCGCCACTCGCGGCAGTAGACAGTGAGCAGTGCTGCTGTGAGCACCCAGCACCCGGGTGGACCCAGGGCCTTGCTGGGAGCCGTGAGCACTCCAGAGCCCGTAGAGCACCCCCTGACCCCCAAGATGGAGGCACCTTAGTGGTCCTGATGACAGAGCCCAGCAGGGCTGTGATCACACATCTTTCAAGGAGCCCCCAGGACTCTGGGGATATAGTGATGGCCTCACCCGTCCCTGGCCAGAAGGACAGGGGGCAGTCACTCTCTGCTGTGGCCTCAATTTCCCTATCTGTGAAACGTCTGCCAGTCAGAGTTGCCGGCTGTAAGCAACAGAAGTGACGACCTTCATTTGCAGAAACACGCGCACAAGTTCCTAGGGCTGCTGCAACAAGTGCCACCAGTGGGTGGTTTGAAACGACAGAGACGTTCACAGTTCTGGAAGCCGGAAGTCTGAGATCAAGGTGTTGGCAGGGTTGGTTCTTTTTCTGGAGGCTCTAAGGGGAAAATCATGCCTCTCCCAGCTCGTGGTCGTTGCTGGTGATGCTTGGTGTCCTTGGCTTGCAGACGCATCCCTCCAGTCTCTGCCTCTGCTGCACCAGGCCTTCTCTCTGTGTGTCTCGTCTCCTCACTCACAAGGTCGCCGATCACACTGGATTAAGGACCCACCCCACTCCAGCATGACCTCATCTTAATTTAACTAATTATACCTGTAATGAACCTATTTCCGAATAAGGTCACATTCAGAGGTACCAGATGTTAGGACTCGGACATCTCTCTTCTGGGGACGTAATTCAACCCACGACAGAGAGTTAAGACTAGATTTCAGTAGAGACAGTCCATTTGGGAGGGGACCCCCAAGCTCCCGTGGCGGTGGGGAAGTGCGACAAGAAAGGGGTCAGTTCTGGGGGTGCTGATGCGCAGGTGACTGCCAGGGCGCCGTAGCTCAGACCCCGGGGACCTCGGGGAAAGTGCAGAGCATGCTTCACACGTGTGCGGCTCCCGCTCCATCTGCTCCCACAGGAGCTACCTCCTTCCGCCGGCAGGAGCAGGTGCTTGCAGCGAGAGGGTGAAGGTGTGGGACCTCGGGAAACGTGAGAGCAGAGCTCCAGGCCACCCGCCTCTCCCACTCTTGCTGTCTCAGCAAAAAGTAAAAGCTCATGTTGGAAGGCTCTCAAGAGCTCACAGAAACAATGGGGGTAAGGAGAACTGGTTGGGGAAACTGAGGAACGTTGAGCTATGGGCCGCTGCTGGCTCCTACAGGGCCTTAGTGCTCACTGCCATCAGGGGCACCTCCAGACGGAGCAGTTGCAAAGGGGCACTCCCTCTGCAGGGTGCACAGAGGCCCCCCTCTGCTCCTGGCTGCTGCAGCCCCTCACGGCCTCCTGGGCAGGGCAGGCACCTCTGGGCAGGGTGCACACTGAACGACCGTTTCCAGCTGCTCCGGATGGGCCCTTAGGGCAACAGCCCCACAGCCGCAAGGACAGCAGGGACTGTCCACGGCTGCTCAGTACCCAGGCGGGCGTGGTGGCTGCAATGGGTCCCACCTGGTGGATTTGTCACGAGGACCCCAAGAGCTAATGCGTGGTAAATGCTTGGCTTGACGCAGAGTAAGTGCTCAGCGAAGAATTATCCTTATGAGTTTCATCGAATGCCAGAAAAAAGCAGAAAACCACCGGCTCCACAGAACTGACTCCCAGCTCCCCAGAAATGTTTTAGGACTATTTACAAACACTCTGTTTCTGTTTTGTTGGCCTCATAAATATTTAGTTCCAGTATTTTTTAAAATATACATATAGGGAATGAAGTTCTGTGCCCGGCACGGACCTCTGCGGTCTTTTCACTGGACCCTGCAGAGCAGGCACTGCTGAGCCCCGCGCTGCAGACGAGGAAACTGAGGCTCAGAGAGGAGAAGGAATTCACTGAGGGTCACCGAGCTGGAGGACAGCACACTTGGGACTTCTCATTAGAAGCCTCTCATAGGGCGTCCCGCGGGAACACAAAGCCGGCGTGCTCTCTCTGGCACTGCCTGCGTGCTTGGACGGTGGAACACAAACAGCGCTCAGGAAATTAACCAGCCCCCCGCCGACCGAGAGACGCATCCCCTAAACAACAGTCACTGCCGAGGGATGGGATTTGGGGAAGGTGGGACCGGAGCAGCCTGGGGCAGGATGCAGGCGGCCAGGGCCGCTCCGGGGAAAGTCACCAGCTCTCCCTGTGTAGCCCTGGCCAGTTTCCAAGGTGCAAACACTCCCGCTGTGACTGATTTCAGCCTAGCAACGTGAAGCTGCTGAAGGAGGCGTCGGAAGATGCTCACAGATACAACAGACAGGCAAAACCTCAAGAGCAGAGAGAATAGCAAAATGCAGCAAAGTAATTGAGAGTGATGCATTTCCAATAAGGAGTGTTTCCTCCCTTTCTTTTTAATATAAATGATTTAATCTGGAATCATGGCTGTGTTTAACAAAATCGGACGTCTTTTCTCCTCCTAATTCCTAATCCTTCTCCCAGCTCTGGGCACCTCCACCAGGAAGCCTTCAGTGACTACACCATGTGAGCTCTCCCTTCTCCAAACACCTACCATCATTTCACTCTACTACTCTTTCCACCGCCTCATGGCCTCCTGTCTCTTCCCATAAGCACTTGCCCGACCTGGAGAGCATGAGTCCTAGATCAGCCTGAATACAGTTTCAGCCACAGCACCATACCTGGGGTCATTAAACATCCCCTTCTCCCTCATCTCCATCTGGCAAACTCCTATTCATCCTTCGAAGCCCTAGGTCCAATGTCTCCGACCCCAAAAAGCCTCTCTGATGCTCCTGGAGCAGAGCTGCTCCTGCATTCATCTGTGCTGCCACTGCGTTTGCTCACAGTTCGCCCACAAGCAGGTACTGGAGGCTGACTTAATGGCAGGCACCCCGAACACTGCCCTAAGTGAAACAGAATCCAGCCCTACCCCGAAGAACCTACATTCCACCCTGGGAGGCAAGCGCCAACCAATTTCCCGATTGTGTGATTAACAGCCACCAAGCTGCATTGATCATTTGCTAGGTGCTAAGCACTTTATGCGTCTTGAGTCCTTTAAACCCCATGCAGATGATGAGAGCGCTGCATTCTCGAACCCTGTATGTCCAGATATCCTGGCTCACTCCGTCCCTGTGGATCTGTGCTCCCTGGGGGCTCGGGGAGGACCTAAAATTACACCCTATCCCCTTTCTCTCTCCTGGTCCCCTTCCTGTTTTCTTTCTCTCCTTGGCACTCGAGGACTGAACATGCTTGTGTCTTCCTTTGATCTCTTCTTTACTCTCTGCTGCCAGCTGTCCCTCCAGTCCCCCAGGCAGAGATCCGATGTCTGCATCCCCACAGCCTAGGACAGCACCTGCTAAGCAGTGGCGATCCAAAACACATTTGTTCAATGGAATACATCACTCTGGCTTTTGCAGATAAGATTGCTGGTGCTCAGAGATGTCAAACAATTTGCCTGAAGCCACACAGCTGGTGAGTAGCAGAGCCTGGATTCAAACCCAGACACCTGGCTCCAGGGCACGTGCTTCTCACCACGCGCTATGCCTCGCCTTCCCTTTGCTCTGCCACCGCTTGTCACTAGACTGCCTCTGCCACTCCGCAACCACCCTCAAGGGCAGGAGCTGGTGTCTCCTTCACCTTGCACCCGCAGGACCCCACATGGCACCTTCCCCATAGCCATTTTCGCTAAATGTTTGCTGAATGAATAAATAACTGCATGCATGTATAACTATATTTCATAAACATTTAGCTATTGATGGTGGAGATTTAAACACAAGTTTCAGTCCTTGGACTCTTAAATAAGGTGCTGTCCTCAGGAGGAAGTGTACTTTGGCAGCAAGGCAGAAGCAAGGCACGGCTGTCCCTCTGTGCTCACGGGCAGGAGCCTCCGAGGTCAGTGAGTCCCGCCTGCCCACCCCAGGGCTCTGACACGCCCGGACAAAGACGCCTACCCAGCCACGTTCCGGGGAACACCTCCAGGAGGGCGCAGTGCCTGGGGCTGGCTTCCCTCTGCGAGGCTGCCCTCGCCCACGGAGCTGCCCCGGCCTCCCCACCCGGGCACTTACGCGGGATTTCTCGGCCAGCCTCGCGGGCAGTGCCCGTTTCCAGACATTCTTGGCAGAAGTGGCTTCGAGGAGAAGTAGCAGGAAGCTCAGAGCCCAGATGACCTTGCTTCCGCGGCTGCCCATCCCGAGGCTGGTGAAGGGCATTTCCTCCCTGGGGAGCGACCTTGCAGACGCTTGAGCTGGCTGCATGGGGCGGGGACGTGTGAGCAGAAGTGCGCGCGGTCTGCCGGGCTTTCTTAGTTCCACTCAGCCGGGTCCCTCGGATCATGTGTCTGCCCCAGCACATGCCCCCTCCTCGGTGGTGGCCGGCCTGCCAGGTTATTTTTAGCTTGCCCTATAACATCTGGCCCCAGAGACTTCCACCAGGGAGGCGGCGGCCCAGCCAGCGCCGCAGGAGGAGGGGGCACTCGGCTTGCTTGGAGACGTGGCCGGGAGTGGCCCTGTCTGTCCCTCTCCTAACGAGCACTTCCTCGCAGGCTGGGTCCCCTCCCGAGGAGGAGTGCGGCTGGGCTGGGGTAGGCGCACGGGGAGCCGCAGGCTGGGTGGGGGCTCCGCTGCTCCGCGACCAAGTTTTGAGCGGGGCCAACAGACTGCTCATAAAAGCCTCTTTGGAAGATGTTGCTAGAAGGGACCGGAGGAGCACGCAGCTGCGGGGAGACGACTCCCAGCCCCGCGCCCTGGTTTCCTCCTCTGACATGGGACAGTTCTTACAGCGTGTGCTTCTCGTGAGATTCGAATGGAACTGTGCACGTGAAGGTTTCACATGCGTCGTAATTGTGCTGGAAATGTCAGCGCGTGCGTGTGTTTCATACAGGACTGAACCATCCACAAATTTTATATCCCCTTCCTGTTCCCCGCACCCCCAGACAGGTGCTGTTTGGACACCCATTTCATGGATGAAAGCGGAGTGGAGGCTGGAACCCAAGTCCGTCTGACCTCTGGGTCCCACCCCCCAGTGAAGCATGAGGGACCCAAGCTCTAGGCATCCACGTACCTGGGCTGCGGCCCAGCTCAGCCTGCGTGAGACGCTGCAAAGCCCTGCTCACCGGGACTCAGTCTCTCACCTGTGAAATGGGCGAGTGAAAGCACCTTCCCCTAAGGTCCACGTGGGGCAATGGGAGATGGGGCCGGCCGTGCCCAGCGCTCGCACGGAGTGAGCGCTCGACAGAGGCCGGTTCCTTCCTTGCTGGGGCCCTGACCTCCCACCGCTGGCCGGGGGTGCCTCCGGGACAGTGTGGGCCGTATCCTCGACCCCTCCTGGCCTCTTGGAGAGTGGTAACAGTAGCAAGGACACGCAGCGTGTGCCTGCGCTGTCTGAGGTCCTTCGCACGGATGAATGCGTGTAGGTCTCCCAGGAGCCCTATGCCCAGGCACGTCTGCGACCCCCGCGCACAGAGGTGCCAGGACACCTGCCCACGAGCGAGGGCTCCGGAGCAGGGCAACCTGTACCCTCCGAGTCAGGTAAATGCACCTGAGTGAGTCCCAGCGCGAGCGCCTCCTTCAATTCTGTACCCTGGACGCCTCACGTGCCTCACCCTCGTCCCGGCCCCTGGTTGGGACCTTACCCTAGATTCTAGAATATTCCTTCATCTCTTCACCCTGAAAAGACTGGTTGAGCCCTTATGGGAGCCTGGTCCAGGGTGCGTCCTTCCCTCCTCTCCGAGCCCTTTGGGTGCTGTCTCAGCCCCTACACGCGGCGGAGGCTGCTTACTTAGAGTCAGACTCGATCAACAGTGGTGGCGGAGCTGGTTGCACCCCCTCTCTGTGCCTCAGTTTCCTCATCTGTGAAAGCAGGGTTTGGAGCCAGAACTGACCCCACAGGCTTGCTGTGGTTGTGCGAGGGTCTAGGGCTTGGAACAGGCCTGCTGTCAGGAGCCCATCCTACGGTCGCCGCCTCCTGGGCCTCGGCCATCCTCAGCCTGCTGTCCCGGCAGCCCCACCCCCACCTGGGCCCCCCGTGAACCTCCCTGCTTCTTGGAACCTGGGGTCCTGGGCTTTCCTAAGGCCGTCCACACCTCCCCCTTCCTGTTCATCCCCGTCCCTTCCACCTTCCCCTTAAACGTAGGCGTTTCCTGTCGATGTCAGTGTGACATTCTTGGCCCATTTCCTGGTCTCTCTCCCACTGGGTGGCCCCACTTCTGCCAAGAGCACCCCCCCCCGGGTGGGAGACGCTCCAGTGACCTCTCCCAGCCTCCTCCGGGTCATCCGGACGCTGCACCTTCGCCCTGGCAGTCCCCCCGCCCCCCCGCCTGGAATGCTTTTCTACCCCAAACCGCACCCCTCACCCAGCGCCCCCTCCAGGCTTCTGCTCACACGTCGCTTTCTCGGTGTGGTCTTCTCTGACCCCAGGGTTTAAACCCACAATTCCCACACCACGGGGACGCCCAACGCCCCTCCTGGCTTTGCGCTTCTTTATACCCATCACCCCCCGATTCACTTGTTTTGCCTTATTTACTTCCCTTATTGTCCGTCTGTCCACACCAGGACGCCAGCTCCACAGGGCAGCTTTTTGGGTGTGTTTGTTCGCTTTGGAATCACCAGGGGCTCAAGCAGTGCCTGGCACCAGGGGGACACTCAGCAAACGCCGTGGAACGAATGAGTCGTGCACAACACCGTCCCCTGCCTGCCGATGGCTCGGCTTGGCTGTCACTCCACCCGTGCTGTCCCACACGGCCGTCCCTTGTCATGGTGACGACGGAGCATGCGACATTGGCCGGTCTGAACGGAGGTCCCATTGCAAGCATAACACACACACGGGGTTGTGGAGACGTATGGAAGGAAAAAGGATGTGAATGTTTCGTTAGGGATTTTTACGTTGGCTACGCACTGATCCGCTACTGTTTAGGCCACACTGGGCCAAACACAATATATCACTGAATTAATGGTACTTGTTTCTTTTTACCGTTTTGCGTGGCTAACTAGAAAATTCACAGTTGCCCTCGTGGCTTGCACTATGTTTCTACTAAGCAGTGCTGGCTGGGCCCTGACACCCGACTCCCTCTCTAGTTCTCAACCCCTCCCAGCTGAGGCCGGCACCCTCCAGCCAGACCCCCAGGCTGAAACCTTGACCTCCTGTTGACACCTCCCTCGCTCTGAGCTCCACAGCTAATCTCCAACTCAGACTTTTAAAAAATTACTGTGTTGTATCTTTTTTTCTGATAATCAACATGACGCACATTTATTAGCAGAGAGTTTGGAAAGCAGAGGAAAGAATAAAGAAAATCTCTAACATGATGCATCCAGTATCGATATCCAGAGATAACCGATGCAGCCTTTCTTTTTTCCCGTGTGTGCATTACACGTGATGAGGTCAAAGCCAAGGCTAATGTCAGTGCTGAGGGAGAGGTCAAGACGGCAGTGTTAGGAATACACACTCCGGAGCCAGCCCGCTTGGTTTAGACTCCTGAGCTGAGGCTTCCCAGCTGTGTGACCTTGGGCAAGTCACCTACCGTCTCTGTGCTTTGCTTTTCTCATCTGTAAAATGAGAGTAACAATACACCCATCTCACAGGGTTGTTGTGAGGACTGAATGAGCCGTATGGACGAGACAGTTGTACAAGCAGCTCTGCCCTTGCCTGACCGTGGACTTTCTGAGGATAGGGCTGCATGTTGTCCGTCTCTGAGTCTCTCTCCGGAAAGTGAACGGGAGCCTCCTTTACTGAGCATTTACTATGCGCCAGGCTCAGTGCTGGGCTCTAGATCCTCACCTCCCGCTTCTCTTCATCTTGCTCACTCTGCTTTCCTCCACGGCTCCCGCCCCAGGGCCTTTGCACTGGCCGTGTCCCAGTGAGTGCTCTCTCCTCGGACACCTGCTTAGCCAGTGCCCCCGGTGCCTTCCTGTCTGTGTTCCCCGGTTGCCTTCTCAGTGAGGCTCACTCCAGCAACACTTTTAAAATCACAGCCTCCTTCTTTCATACCACCCCAAGTTCCCAACCCCCTTCATCCTGTTTTGCTTCTTCATCGCCTTCTAATAGATCATGAAACTTGCCTATGCTTATCATCGATTGCCTCTCTCTTTGTGGTAGACAGAATAACAGCCCCTTAAAAGATGCCCACAATCTAACCCCCAGGACCTGTGAACACGTGGCCTCACGTGGCAAAAGGGACTTTCCCGAAGTGATTAAGTCAGAGATTTTGCGGTGGGGAGATGATCCTGGATTAACCAGGTGGGACCAACGTCATCACCAGGGTCCTTATAAGAGAGCGGCACGGGGGTCAGAGTCGGAGAAGCAGATGGACGTGAAAGCAGAGGGGAGGGGAGGGGGGAGGGAGAGGCTGGTTTGAAGATGCTACGCTGTGGTTTTGGGGACGGAGGAAGGGGCCAGGAGCCAAGGCGTGCAGGCAGCCTCTAGAAGCTGGAAGAGGCAAGGGAACATTATCCCCTAGAGCCTCAGAGGGAGCACAGCCCAGCCACACCCTGAGTTTAGCCCACTGAGACCCATGCTGGACGTCTAACCTAGTAAAATAACAGATCCGTGCTGTTGTAAGCGGCTAGGTTTGTGGGCATTTGTTACGGTGGCAAGAGGAAGGTCACACACTCCTGAGTGGAATGTAGGCTCTGCAGGGTCGAGTGTCCGTGCCTCTTACTGCCTGTGCCCCCGTGCCTCGCACAGGGCCTCGCCCGCATCCGCACCCCAAGTATTGGCTGGTGCACAGAATAAATTTAATCCTCGTGACCTCGTGAGGACTTATCCCTGTTCTACGAAGAGATGGATGATCGCGAAATGTAGGCGCATTTTCCCAAGTCTCAGCTAGAGACTGAACTCAGAAGTGCCTTCCTCATCCCATGACACAGGGTTTGGTACACATTAGGTGCTCAATTAATGTTCTTCGATGGAGACAACAGTTCTGCAGCGGTATTTGAACCATAGGGATCCAGGGTGCCAAGCTGTGGCCCGTCAGGCAATTTCTTGCAAACGTTAACTTACAAAACGACCCTCCAAAGTCTTCAGGACAAGAAGGGACAAAGCACTGCAGGCTTTGTGTGGAAGGAGGAGACGCTCCAAGAGGAGAAACAAACACAGAACGAAACCGCCAGGGAAACTGGCCACTTTCCTTTGATCAGTGCTGGGGCAGGCTCTCAGTGTGACAGCCTGGCTGGACGCTCCCAGCCGGAGCCTGAGGTTGCTGGCCAGGCCTGTGTCCTGTGACAATGTCAGGGCCAGCACCCCCTCCCGGATTCCTGCCAAGCCTCGGAACTTTGTGTTCCAAGTGGCAGAGGCCTTCTGGTTCATCTGAGCTCTGGCAATCTGACTTGATTCAAGCTTAGTGGGCGGTCCTCTCGGGGACCGGCAACCCGTGAGTGCAACTTCCTGCAGAGCTGTGGGCGAGGTTTCCTCTGGGAAACACTTGGAGCTGGCCAGGCCTCTCCTCTCTGTTCCAAGGGGCCTGCTGGGGAGGGCTGCA